TACCTGTCTCTTATACACATCTAGATGTGTATAAGAGACAGAGGTTGTAGAGGACGTATGGAAGGGGCTCGACGTCGACGAAGATGAAACGCTGGAAACGGAGGGTCTACAGGGGTTCAAGGAGCAGCGATCTGTTGCTTGTGCCGAGAGAGAACAGAATCTAAGGAAAGAATCCAAGGATAAGGAGGGTCTAGAAGCGTACGGAATGTTGAAGGAAGGAAAAGGGTTTAAGGATTACCTACATGAACCAATGGATGCAGGAACAAAGTTTAAGGTCAAATTCAGGACCGGGGACATAGGCCTTCGAGAAAGTCGACGAAGACGACGAGTTCAAATGTGATTGCGGCTTCGAATGCGAAGACCGTGTTCATGTACAGTCGACCCGCTTGAAAAACACACCACGTTTTCCCCCCAAAAAGTGTCTTTAACGCGGGGAAGTGTCTTTAAAATTCCGGGGCCACTAAGGCACCATCCCCGGGGCCAATGAAGGCCAAACATATGTCAAAAGGTGCGTGTTCGCAGCAGAAAGGCGACCACAAGGGGTGTTGTTTGAAACCTACGACACAAGGTGATTTGAAGGTCGCAACCACTGTTGATATTGTGCTATAATACGTACTTGCATACCATCGTTTGAATTTCCCCATACTGTACCACCATAACGCTGAAAGCGATGGTGTTCTACGACCTACGCATCGTGCATGTACACGACGGTAGTGCTCTGGTGCTGATATGGGCTTTTTTTGCTTGATTTTTTTTTAAGGAGTTGTCCTCCCCGTGAATATCTTGCCCAAGATCTCGCTACCGCACCTGAGAAATATCGAAGGTTGTGAAACGACACTAGGACAATGTAGGTTACGCAGAAACACAGAGACGAAAAATGTCGGGAAAGCACAGCGACAAAGAGGACACCGCGCCTCCCAAAAGGTCAAAACGAGGCACAACACAACACAAACGCCAAAATCAACCTCACGAGACTTGACCCACGGCTGCAGCAGACCGCTGTTGATGATCCAGGATCTACAGGTGCTGCAGCACATTTTCTGGGGGGGGTCGAACGGTGGAAAACCCTACCCCCCCTACTTGTTCACATCTGCGGGGCACCACGTTTCTGAGATTTTCGTGTCCTTACAGCGGGGAGTGTCTTAAAAAATTGTGTCTATAAAGCGGGGACGACTGTAGTCGCGGAATGTCCGTTGTACAAGAAGGAGAGGGAAGTGTGCGTGACTGAGCTGGGAAAAATAGATAGGACGTACAGGGAGATGTTTGAGGCATGGAATAGAGAGGAAAGGACGGTAGCTGTAGTGGGGCATAGGAGGTGGGTTGAAAAGGCGGGAAGAGATATCGTTAGGATAGACAGACTGGGGAAGACATTTTTTAGTCACCTTTGGCGAAGTAGAAAGGAACGATTGGCCATCGGTGATTGGTCCTGTGGGAACAATGCTCCGTCCTCTCGAGGACGCGTGGTCAATGGTCTAACCGCTAAG